ACCCTGCCCCGTGCCCCAGGACCATTCAAATATCCCCGCCAGTGGCTGCTCAGTGACGTCAGTCAGTGCCTTCAGTACCCTTGGATGGAGCTCATCCGAGCCTGCCGACTTAAACGCATCCAGTTCCTCCAAGTGCCTCTGCACCATCTCAGGGTCTACGCTTGGTAGTCTGGCGTCTTGCTGCTGCCTCTTTACAGTCCTAGTGAGAGCCTTGTCTTGCCCCTCACTTAGGAACACTGAGGCAAAGAACTCATTGAGGAGTTCAGCCTTGTCCCCCCTGTCTGTCACCAATTGCTTCTGCCCATTTAGTAGAGGTCCTATTCCACCCTGGGCCTTCCTTTTACTCCCTATATATCTAAAGAACAATTTTTTGTTATCCTTAACTTGGGATGCCATCCTCAGTTCCATGGTAGCTTTGGCCTGTCTAACTGCCTCCCTACAAGCGCGAGCAGAGGAGGTATACTCGCGCTTGTAGGGAGCTGGAAGCTTTCAGAGATTCAGTGTTGGGGTTTTTTTAACCTTTTAAGATATTTTTCAAACTATGCCACCCAAAATGCAGGTATTCCATACATAGGATAATTTAGTCTTTGTACCTTACAAGCACAGCACAATAAGTGCTACAATTCACAGCAAATAAAAATGTCAAACTTAAAGACCAGAACTAGTGTAACTCTTTTCCATATCTAATGCCAAAAACTCTCTAGACCACAATGCCACGCAAGCAAATGATTAAACTTTGTGCAGATTCCCTGAAAGGTATCTACCATCATGATATCTAAATGGGGCTATTAAATGCCCCTTACAATATCAAAGGGAATCAGAAAAGAAAGAAAGGAATATAAAAACAGAACATATTTGAATTTTAGCTTGCAGTCTTTTTTGTTTCCTTTTTATCTACAAAGATTACCTGAAGGTTTGTTTTTCATTTTGAAAAAAAAAAGGTGGTATTGTTGAGAAGGGATGTTGGGACAAAATCTGTTTATTTTGGGGAATTTAGCATAGTCTGCTTTTCACAGCTCTGTGAAAACAGTTCCCAATATTTCCAGGCTCAAGACTCCACGTATAGTCAGCTTGCACCTCAACTTCTGTCATGAGCCCAACTTTTTTACTGAATTTCTGTGGAACTAAAAACCTTAGATCAGGGTTCTGATCCTAAGTTTGGGAACCGCTGCTCTATGGTAACTAAGGACTTGTGAAATAACATCAGCTTATCAATGCACAGATTCAAGTAAACAAAGGAAATGAGCACTCCACATAACCCATTTCACTGGTATTTCTATTTTAGACAATACACAAATATTTTAAAGAACTAGGTTGTACTTCACCTGTGTTAGGGTTGATGCTTGCTGCTATATGAAAGTGACAGAGTGCATTAGCATGATGTGAAATGTGACGCTGAACTTCATGTGTGCCTTGCTGATCAGGTAATAATTCCGTGTGGGTAACAAGGACTGAAGACCTTCTTTGTCCCTTTCTCATGTTTTTCAAATGGTGAATTGTCTAAAGTAGTTAAGAGACAGAGGAAATATAATTTTTTTAAAATCTAAAACTGAGAAATCCAAAAATGAAATAATGTATCTTTAAGTGGATTCATGAGAATATATCTTTGTAAAGTCTAAAGCTTTTACAGTATCCTTTAACATAAAGGCATGAAGACTTTGACTGAAGGTTGTTTGAGTTTCTTAAGACTTGCACACATCTTTTTTCCTGATCAAAGCCAAGTTCAAAGATTTCAAATTTCTGCTCTTACCAAAACCAATTGTTTTAAGGAATAGCATTTGCACAAAGGCACAGCTGCACAGCATTTGCCCACTCGCACAGTAAACACAGCTTAGTCTGAAAGCAGTTTTCTACCACAGCTATTAGTTTGATACAGTACAGAGCCAAAGACTTTCCAGAGGCAAGATTTTTAAATATAGTTTGGGATTATATTTTTGTTTTTACTACTGGATATAATGTTACAACTTGATTCTTCAACTTTCAGAACAGTTATACAATGTAAACCATGACACCACGGGTTCCTGTACTAGGACCTGGTATGCCACAGTGCATGCAGGTTGCTGGTGTGATATGGAAGAAAGGATCTGTTCTGATTCTCATGGATTAGAATGAGTTTTAAAGTTTGGTCTAGTCTTTTCTGTAACCTAATTTGAAGCGGTTATCGTTAAAACTAATAAAATCAACAATGCCATTTTTGCAAAGGCATTTTTCATATCAGATCATGAAGAGAAAAGAGCAAAAAGTTTTTATTGACGTTTTATTTGGAGGGAGTTGGGAGAAACAAACAAAACTTAAAACAAAACTAGCAGGATTTTTAAAAAAGAATTTACCTATACGCTAACATGTTTTCTTAACTGAGTCAAGAAAAAGGTTTAACTTCTTGGTTCTTGTGGTAGTTCTAGAAGTATGGATTCTAATTCTCCAACCAGAATGAAACCACCACTTATTGATCAGTATTTAACAATGCCTCCTCCTCCTATGACTCTAATTAGCTAAACAACAAGTAGATTATTCTATATATTGTCTGTCTTAGGTGTTCTGTGCACAAGGTTGGAAAATTAAGATCTCTCTCACTTCTAATTTCATCTCACTTCTGAGATGGATATACTGTAAACATCGAAAGAGGATGAAATAATTTAGACAGCTATAATCTGACCTGACTAAGCTTGTATAAAGTAAACAGCATGTGGTTTTGGGTTCTAAATCATATAAAACTTTACACACCATAAACTTCAAAATTATTACAATTTAAAACAATTGTTAAAGCAAGTATTTAATGATACCTCTAGAGCATGCTGAATCCTGTCTTTTTGCCTTCCAGATTGAGAAAGGCTGCTGCTGCTGATGCTAGAAGTGGTAGTTTCACAGATCTGCTCACCCAGAAGACTATCTTCTGGCAACAAAGTCTCTGCCCAGAGCCGACATATGCCATCATGGCATGAAGTAAGTAACACATTACAGACAGACCCCCTGAAGACACACATATCAGGATTATCTCACATAACCAACTGAAGTGCAATTACACAACAGAATTATGAAAACGTGCAAGTATTAGGTAGTTTATGTTTGCTTCATGCAGGGTTTTGGAATAGCAGAAACATTTTTAACTTGGTAACTAATGCTAAACTATAGATTACTGACAAAAGCACACTGACAGAAATATGAATAAATTAAATAATTATCATATTGTAGCAAATAACCTATTTATAATTATCTGGTTTTCTGACTTGGTCAAGTATGACCATGTATACTGCATTATTCAAGAAGTGAAAACAAATTTCTAACCTACTAATGCTACGATTTATGCCCAGTTTAAAAAGTAACATTTTAAAGAGAATAGTTTTATAACCATTTATAAAACTATTTAAAATGTTACTTTTTAAACTAGTAACAATTTAAACAAAGGTTTCAATTGGACCGTCTGACAGTAAATGTGCATGAGTAATGAACAGTGTATAACATCGTCCATATTTTTAAATTAGTTCAGGATACTGTGTGTGCTCTTTTTGCAACAGCTGATGAGAATAACAATAGCCACTATAAAAAACAAAGCAGAAGATTGTAGCCACTGTAAGACTAAGCACCTATATTCCCCAGTGAACCATATGTGGGTGCGATAGTAATAATAAAAATTAATTATTTGGCACTATAGACCATAAAGGCCCTTGGCTGCCTCCACTATCTTCATTGATTCCCATATGTTGTTTGCCGTCAACCTCCAGTCATCCACAATTAATTTCAGCAGGTCGCACACTACATCATGTAGCCATCTTTTCCCTGGTTGTCCAGGCAGCCTTCTCCCCTCTGGTACCCTGAAGAGCGCTTTCTTTGGTGTCTGGATCACTTCCATTCTTTTGCCTGTGACCCAGCCACTGCAGTCTGTAGTATAGTATAGTATAGTATAGTACACTAGTAGAGTAGGGTGTGTATGGGGTCTATGTATTGTATGGGGCTGCAATGCTAACTTAAAATTTAGGGCCCTGAAAGGAAAAGAACCCCAAAAGTTTAGGGGCACTGCTGCAAACCCTCCCTTCTGAAGAATCCTATGGTTTCATTAAGACCCTAACTCTGAATACCTCTTTTTTAAATTTTAGCCAAAGTGTCTTATGGGAACTTTCTAACCTGGGCATATACTTGCTAGTATTACGCCATGAAAATCCTGTCACAGCTCGAGGATGTGCCAAATAAACAAATGAAAAGTGGACAAGTGCTGAACTTTTTTTCTTTTCTTCTCTTTCTTGTGCTAGAAGAGATGACTTCCAACCAGTCATGGGATACCAAACCTTTAAAAGACAATCATCCTGGGCAAAAAAACAAATATAAGCAAGATTAACAGGTATAATTTAAATGTTGATGAAATAAGTTTGACTGTATATCCACTGACATATTTTATTAAAACCTATCTGAAATGTTAATGTAGCAACACCACCATTTCTGATAGGCCATTTAATACCATTTATAGTCTAATGTGCTTGGTAAATTAAATAATTTTTAGTAACCTACTCAATATACAAACTACCAAATATTATACAACATAATAGGACTGTATGAGGGACAGTAAATAATAAAACAGTACAGTGCTATGTAAGTTTTAAAATGATCAATAAGAACCTCTTTTTCCTAAAGTCAAGTAAAAAAAATCTCTTATAAAAATAATTAAGCTACAACAGTTAGGAATTAAATAATCTTGCTTAATTAAAGATGCAGCTCTGTATGCAGTCCAGGATTTCTGTATTTTTTTTTTTTTTTATCAATCATGTGATGACTGCATGGGGCTTCAGTACTCATCTGATTATTCTTTTTTCTCCTTACCTTTCCAGCTGTTGCAAAGTATTCTCCATCAGGGGACCATGCCATGAGATGTACAGATACTGCTGTCCTAGAGAACAGACTTGTTTAAGTCTTGAATACTGTCTTGAATACTGTTGTATGTATTTTGCAATGTTTCAAATATGCATATAATGTTTGAATACAACATACTGATATATTATAGTCTGTAAGTAGAAGTACTGAGATAAACCATCTATGGTACATTTAAGATTTTCCTCACACACTTGTCAAGAACTACCAAGCTCAGATCAGAGCTACTGGCATCACATAAGCCCATACCTTCTTCTTATGATTTTTCCCCCTGGTATTGCAAGAGTGATATTGTAGCTGTGATGGTCCAGAAATTGTGAGGGGCAAGGATTTCTTAGGCTGATATCTTTTACTGAATCAACTATATAGTTGGGATAAAGTTAGTACAGCTTTCAAATTCAAGACATTCAAACTGAGTAATCCTTGTCCCTCACATATTTTTTTTTCATAAGACATGTCTGAATGGAAATAGGGGAAGACACATAAGAATCTAGTAACCTAAATACAAAAGAAAAGATTTTGTTCTTCATTTGGTACTCTGTTCATGAACAAAGTTTGGAGCACTTGAGATGGCTTGAAAAGCAAAGGGTCACACATCGAATAATGAAAGAGCTCAACTCAGCATTCTGGAGGGACCAGCTGGGCTAGCTCTGAAACTTGTGGTTTAAGGCAGGGGTTGTCAACCAGGGGTACGCATAACCTCAGGGGTACTTGGGAAGGCCCTAGGGGGTACGCGCAGACGGGCAAGAACAGAGTGCTACCACCCACCACCCTGCACTGCCGCCTCCCAGAAGCAGGGCTGAGGGAGAGAGAGGGGGCGAGGGTAGCGGCGCCCCTCTGCAGGCCGCATAGGTGCTGCCCAGCCAGCCAGCCGTGGTGCAGTGGGGGAGGAGGAGGGGAAGCTTGCCTGCTGCAGCCACCTACCACCCCACGCTGCCACCTTTGTGCATCTGGCTACATGTCATTCTCCTATACCCCCAGGCCGCTCCACGTCTGACTGCCAGGGGTAAACTTATTTAAAAAGGCTGAAAACCCCTGGGGGTTAAGGTATTCACTTAGAACGTATCCCTTTCTGTCAAGGTAAGAACCGAGAGACGCACTGCTTTGCTTGCATACTTCTCCAGACAGAACACTTTCCATCTCAGGTTTGCGAGGAAAAAGATTTTGTCAGTTTCAAACTGTTATGGGCCGAGTTGCTGAAAGGACAAGGTTTTGTTCTTATTTGAGCTAGTACAGGCCGCCACTCAGTTCCTGGTAATCTGAACCATTTCTAATGCTGTGAGGACAGGAAAGTTTAAATGACAATTTTATGGACCCAGAATACAAGTTAACTGATGCATAGACTGGCTTCCTTAAGCTTTGAATCCAATACTGATGTGACTCTGATCTAAAACTGAAAGCTTCTATCATAAGTCAGAGGGATGTAGGTTGTAGCCGTGTTGGTCTAGAACATAGGTAAACAAGATTCTTTGGGTAAATCTGAACAATTTGAGTTGGCCTAATAAAAGATATCAGATTTAGCTAAAGAACCTTGTCTATAATAAATTAGAGGCGCTTGACTAAACAGTGAACATTTGAGAATGCCCCCTTCTCATCAGCACAGAGGCAGAAAAGGATCTTGGAGTCATTACAGACTCCAAGATGAACATGGGCCGCCAATGTGGGGACGCAGTCAGGAAGGCTAACCGCACCCTGTCATGCATCCACAGGTGCATCGTGAGCAGGTCCAAGGAGGTGATCCTCCCCCTCTATATGATACTGGTCACCGCAGTTGGAGTACTGCATCCAGTTCTGGGCACCGCACTTCAGGAGGGATGTGGACATCGAGAGAGTCCAGAGGAGGGCTACCCGCATGATCAGGGGGCAGCAGGGCAGGCCCTGCAAGGAGAGGCTGAACCTGTTCAGCCTCCACAAGAGAAGGCTGAGAGGGGATCTGGTGGCCATCTACAAACTGGCCAAGGGAGACCAGCAGGCAATGGGAGAGTCCCTGTTCCCCTGAGCACTACCAGGAGTAACAAGGAATAACGGCCGTAAATTGACAGAGAGTAGATTCAGGCTAGATATCAGGAGGCACTACTTCACAGTCAGGGGAAGTGGTGCTCGCTCCTACTCTGGGGGTCTTTAAAAGGAGGCTGGATAATCACCTAGTCAGGGTCGTTTGACCCCTGCATTCTTTCCTGCCCATGGCAGGAGGTCGGACTTAATGATCTGCTCAGGTCCCTTCTGACCCTACCAACTATGAAACTATTTGATAGGTAATGTAAGCCAAGAACATGCAAATTTGAGTGATACAATGTGCTCAACCAGGACCAAGGGAGTTTTCATCCAAGGCCGTGGTAAGCAATGCCAGAACAATGGTGTGGAGAGGAATACAAAGGGAAAATATGAAGGTGTCACTATTTATTTGTTTTAAAAAGGAAAAATGTCTCCTTATTCAAATACGCAGTTCTGTCAGATAACATTTTCTTAAAAACCATCATCTCTTTTCAGTTATGAAGAGCTTAGGGCCCATGCAGCAACATTACTTGTCTGATTACAGCAAATAAAATATAGAATAGGAAAACATTACCAGATTATAATTCTGTATTTCTTCAGCATAGTGAGACATTAATGGTAGTTGTCTGTCCTAATTGTGTTAAATAATTTAGCTTGTTGATATTTGATATTTTCATAGAATTAGGTATCCAAAATCAATTTCATTATACAAGAATTATACAGAGCTCCCTTTTAATCAAAGCCCCTTCACAATAAACCAGAATACTGGAATACACAATGCCATGGTTTATTACTTTCTCTCTTCTCTTCTTTTGTCTCCATTCTTTAGTCTTGTTTTATTTTTAGATTTTCTTTTGCTTTCAAATCTTGCCCTTTTCCCCTTTCTTTTTCTACCATTACGTTTGGAAAACATTCTTCTTCTTTATCTTATTTATTACAATAGTACCTAGAGACTAGCTGAGCATGGAGCTTCATTGAGCTAGCTAAGCACTGTATGTACAAAGAATATAAGGGAGAATAGGCTTCTGTACCATTGGTGGGTCTATGGAGTAGAGGGGCATGCTCTAAAATCTCATCTGTGCTGCACAAGCTAACAAAACTTATGCTTACAGGTTGCTTCCTTAGTACTTAAGTGTATACAAATTAGCTATTAATATATCCATTTGTAATAAGGAACAAAATAGAAGGAGGGGGAGGAGGAGGGTTTCAAGAAGATGCCCTCTGCTTTACAACAGCTTTTGCAGTGCAAAACAAAACACCACTACACCTCTGGCCATCTCTTTGCCTGTTGGTATACAGTACTTTCATCTTTAGCTCTCCTCATTTACACGAGACACATTGTTAGCATTGGACTGCATGCAAACATCTGTTAATATATTCTGTAATGGCAGATTAGCAGAGGGAATGGGAGGCTTTTTAAAATCTGTAATAGATTTCACTCAAAGGAGGTTTTTATGAAGTTGTCATTTTAAAATACTTTTACAGGTATACATACAAAATACGCAGTCTTTTCCATCTTATTCAACAAATCTTATATGAGAAACTAGCTTACTTGCACTGCCAAATACATTTCCAGTCATTTAGGACAGGGAGAACTTTATCTTCTTTGATCTGATAGTCAGGAACATCATCTTCCTCCTCCCCCTCCTCTAGGATGTCACTGGATGGAGGGGCCCACAACTGCAAATACTCAGTTGCTGTCAGGAGCCTGTTGCCTGCAAGTAAGTAATATCAAAGCTGTAGAACAGAACAAGGAATTCCAGGTTGCATTTATAGTGGAAGATTCTGTCTGGTATATTTGTAAGGGCTGCTGGTAAAGCCTGGGAATACAATTTTACAAAGTTCATTTTGATTGCAGTAGGCTATTCAGACACAATGACCCAGCTGATTTTATCAAAATATATTATGAACATGAAAATTTCAAGAAAGTTATTGTTTTTTTTGCTACTGGGATTGTAATAATAGGAAAAGAATTAATATTGTGTGAAGACAGGCTATCTGAATTGAAAATATAAATCTTTGTTGGTCATGAAATTCTTGGTGTACATGTCCAAAAGTCACAGTTACCAATTAATACTGAATTTAATTTGCAAGCCTTAAGTAAACATTTTTATAACAAATAATAGCAGTTTCTTCCATTAAATAAAGCTCCACAGTATATAGGGTTTATGACCGTTTGTCCTTTCAGAATCAGAATTTATTTCTCTGCTTTTTCAGTAAGCCAAAGTATTTCTTGAAACTATCTAATTTAAAATGTACACCTTTTAAAATGTCTGTGGTAAGCCTTTCATATTCAGTGCATCATTAAAAAAATATTTGAAAGCTATGGTGAATCTTTTCTGCCAAAAACTCTAATGATTCCACCCGAAGTATGGATGAAAGTGCACGGAATTTCAGGACTATTGCAAATCGATCAAAAACTGTGATATAAATCTCTCTGCGTTAAAAAGATTCGATGTATAAATGATAAAAATAAAAAGGGGGATTCAACAGATATTTTTTGTTAGTGTTCTTTTCATCTCAAATTAAAAGAGATCTTGGATTTTTCCAGAAAGATGTTAGAGAATCAACATTGTTCTTTAGAACTTATAACAGAAAAAGGAACTTTCCTATTGCTTGAAAAGGGTTCTCTCTCAGGAAAGGAAAAATAAATTACAACACAAGTAAGTTACTACTGCACCAGGAGAGTGACTTCCCAGGAATGAACACATTAACAGGTATCAAAAAACCAACCATTTAAGGCAACAACTAGGTATAAAGAT